GGCTGGTGCTAACGTTAGCGGAGGATCTCACAAGGTCTCGGGACCCTCCCTGATGGTCTGTGGTCTCCCCAGGGTCATAAAAGTAGAGGCTCCTAGTAAGGACTGCCCCCTAGCTCACAAGCACTTCCTCCTCCTGGCTCTCAGTGTCCTCAACACCGCAATATCAAAAGCGTCTGTTCCATCCCAGACGAGGTTCTTCTCAGTGTCACACCTGCCCATATCTCGCAGACCCGTGGTAAGTGTCAGGGACCTTCTTGGTGGGGACCGGGTGGCCATGGATACTTAACAGGTTGGGAGACCCTAACCATCTGACCACTCATGCTAGGTGTGGCCTATTTGTCTTCAAGGGGCCAGCCATCGTACTTCCACGACAATTTTAGCAAGATTTTGCTCCATCAGACACCTTCCCAGGATCACCAAAAGGGTAATCCATCACAAATCACCACGGGCAGAAACACCAACCAGTGAGTTGGGAGGCGGGATAGTGGTAGGGAGTGGGGTGGAAGGGTATTTCTTTCCTCCCTTACTTCCTGTCTTTTACTCATGAATATATCCATTCATTCATCTGTCCGTCCGTCCATCCATCCATCCATCCATCCATCCATCCATGTGTCCATCTATTAATCAGGTCTTTTAGCAATGCATTCCTAATTCATCCTTGAGCTCATTCATATACCCACCCCCCTTTCACCCACCCTTCCCTACGCATGTCAAATGCATGAACCAGGTCTGCTCAACCTATTGGTGAATCTTGCCAGCCAGCCAGCCATCTATTTACCAACTCCCCGGGTTCTGTCCTTCCATCCATGAATCAACGATAACCTTCTATAATCCTTCCTTTCACTTGTAAATCCTGGATACTGTCCGTCCCTCATTGAGTCATGACCCTTCCACAAATCGACATGCCCATCTGCATATTCATCCAGCCCCCATCATTCATCTAGCGTTCACCCTTGGATCAGTCTTTCCTTTCAGATCTGTGCTTGGATCCAACAGCCCATCCGTCAAACCATCCATCTTTTTCCCCATCCCATCATCATTTATTCATTTCTTCAAACTTTTATTGGGTTGACTATGTATCAAATATTAGTGGAGAAAATAAGAGATGGGAAGTAAGAGAAGAGCCTGGCAGAGGAGCTTCCCTGGGCCTGGATGCCAGAGCTCTAAGAGGGAGGGGAAAAGCTTTTCCTCTGGCTTAAACAGTTTTAAGCAGAGAGGACCCGGGAGAGCGGAGATGAGTGTAAAGTCCAGGCAGCCCAGAGGAACACCACATATCCCACCCCTCCCACAGACCACGGCGGACAGCACTAGGGGATCACAGCCTCAGAATCCTTCCTGACCCAGTTCTCCACACAGACACTACTAAGGGATCCGAGTAGGACCATAAATGAAACACATGCACCAGCTTCCCACAAGATGCCACCAAGAAGGGGTAGAACTCGGCAGGCACGGTCCAGACTTGCACATTCAAGAGCCTATACTCAAGCAACTCCCAGGTGTGAGGTTTCCTGTGGGGGACACTGAAGTGCAGCAGAACAGGCTCAAGAGACCCTCCATGGAGGCAGAGACACCGATCTCAGGCTGCAGGCAGATTTGGGGAGGGCTTTCGCTGGCCCTGTGGCCAGCACAGAGCCGAGTTCCAAAGCCCACAAGTGTTGACAAGCTTGGCCCGACCAAGGCACTGTCAGGCACAGACCAAGACAGCCAGGCACTGTCCTTGTCATCCCAGCAGCCTGGCTCTTGGTGGGCTAACGAGAAGCAGCCCCTCTGCATCCACACGAAAATGTGGTCAGATAAATGGATGCAAACATATGAATACATGGAGGATGTCAGGCCATGGGTGGACGAATAATACATTTCACATTACTTTTTTTTTTTTTGTACTGGGAACTGAACCCAGAGGCACTTAATCACTGAGCCACACTCCCAGCCCTTTGTATTTTTATTTTGAGACAGGATCTCACTAGGCTTAGGGCCTCACTGAGTTGCTGAGGCTGAACTTGTGATCCTCCTGCCTCAGTCACCCCAGTTGTTGGGATGACAGGTGTGCACCACTATGCCTAGCTCTTGTGCTACGTTTAAACATAACAGATACACTTTATGGAGCACAAACCCCATGCCAGGCCCTGGATTAGATGCCTCACTTGACACTCATCCAACTCATATGAGGATGGTATTATCGTGCCTATAGTATAGAATACACGCTTTAAAGGAGAAAATTGCAGAACGGAGAGCTGAGGGCAGTCTGCTTTGGGACACGTGGATGGGACAGGGCTTGATTGAGATGGACAGACCTAGAACTCCACCCACCTGGGGGTGTTCCTGCTGGGCCAGCAGACCATGCCTGGTGGGATCCTCTTGCACCTATGCCGCATCTTTGCTATCCCGAGGCGTGCACAATTCCATTTCACATGTGAGGAAACTGAGGCTCACAGAGTCGGGATTGAAACCCAGGACCGCCTGGTGCCTGGGCATGAGTTCTGACCCTTTCTGCTAACTTGGTGAAGATCTCAGTTCCACTGCTTTCCAACTGTGTAGCCTTAGACACTTTGCAAAGTCTCTGCACCTCAGTTTCTTCATCTACAAAATGGGCAGAAAAGGCACGTCCTGTGAGAGAGTGTGGGTTTGGTGGGTGGAGTGTGGGTTTGGTGGGTGGAGTGTGGGTTTGGTGGGTGTTTTCCACTGGATCCATGACCTACAGGTGGGAAATGCTTGGCCAAGGCCAGTGGCGGTGACTAGGACTATTCTGCTACCTTGTCTTACTAGGGCTATTCTGCCACCTGTTCAGGATCACACCGAGAGACTGGGCCTGGGGATGTGTGTCGAGTGGAGTGGGGAGCTCCACACTCGGCCCACTGCCCTCACTGCTCTCTCCTCAGGCTCCACAACACACAGGTCCCCAAGACCAGAGCCCCCAACTCCTCTGGGGAAGGCTTGGGGCACCGCAGGCGCTGTTGTCCTTTCCGGGTCCGATTCGCTGACGAGACCCTACGAGACAGCACACTCCGCTATTTGGAGCGACGCTGTACAGGTAAGCAGGCAGGGCGGAAAGCCCCAGGATTCCACATTCCACATCCTGGAGTGTGGGGGGCAGAGCCTGAGAATCTGGGCTCCCAGAGTCAAGGGCTGGCCCCTGACCCTGCAGAGGAAGTCCTCTCTGGAGGGTGTCAGCAGGGTGACCTTCAAGGACCAAGCAGAGTGTCCCAAGGTATGTGGCATCAGGGAGCAACTGCAGAATGACCCAGAAAACAAAGGCTGCCCAGGCCTGGCGACCACTAAAGGACTTCCGAGAGCCTGATTGCACCTTGGCACACATCTCCTGCTACACAGCCTGGAAAAGGTCCAGAAGCCACCAGAAGAGGACACCTCTCTGCTGGGGACACTGGCACCAACAGTCCAGCAGAATCTCAGACCCACCAAGCCCAGGGTCCCAGGCAGAAGCTGGCTCTTGGCTCTCGGGGACGGCTGTGATTGATCCAAGTTTCCAGGAAGCTCACTCAGGTGGAGGCAGGAGCAGGAGCAGGAGGGAGAAGGAAGCCCTTGGCCTGGAGTCACCATCATGGAGTCCACCTGCTCCGTGTGTCCAGCCTCTTCCCAGCACCCGCCAGCACAGGGCTTCTGGGGGCAACACCCTGGAGCTATTTCCTGAGCACCCGCTCTGTGCAGTTTCAGGAAGTAGCTGCCCCCAACTCCACTGTTCGTTGTCCTACAAACTAGGACATTTGCTGGTTCAGGAGGGACCCCATTCAGTCTCCTTAGTGTCCCAGGAAGTTGGAGACCAAAGCTGTGGTTCTCACCCAACTCCTTGATGTTTGATGGGGAAACCAAAGCAGAAGGGGCTCATGGAAGTGACATCGAAGCCAGGAACAGAAGCCAGAGTGTCCCTGGAAACCCAAGGACAGGATAAGCCTGAATGGCAGTTGGGGGACACTTCTGTATGGGCCACTGGCCACAAGGAGCTGTAGCTGTATCTCAGGGCACCAGGGCCCAGGGCTCACTAGCCGGGTCCATCCCAAGGCAGTCGCTGCGGGATTCCGGATCCTGACCAGCTTGAATGGTGGCTTTGGGATGGGGAAAGGCTCCCAGCTTGGAGACGCCCCTCCCTGCCTCTCCTGAGGATTCTCAGTATTGTCTCCGGGATGGCTGTGGTGGGGTGACCGGCCTTCCCTCTGCAGGAAAAGGGGGTCTGTTGGGGCTGGAGCTGGAGTGTGGGTATTGGGGGCACAGCTTGGGTGGTAGCAGCAGAACAGTCACGCAAAGCAGTTTTAAAACCCAAGCCTTCTCTGGAGCAGCCAGAGGCACTGGGGAGCCTGGAGTTGCCATGGAGACAAGGCTCTGCCCGGCCTTGCCTGCCAGAGGGAGGAGGGAAGGGGGTACCAGTGTCCCCTTAGGGTAAGGACTCACGATGCCCTCTCTCCTCCAGTCCCGAACAACATCAAGAGCAGGGCCACTCTGCTGCCGGAGGTCTCCAACCAGGCGTTCGGGAACGTTCAGAAATGGCTGGAGAATTTGCCCAGAGCCCTGCCCCCCAGGGCCAAGGAGGAAGCCAGGCCCAGCGCCTGGTGCTGGGACCGCCCCCGCCTGTGAGGCTTTGGGGAAGGCGGGGGGACTCACAAGCACTGAAGGGGCTCTGCCCCTGCAGCCCTCCCCGTTTAGCAGCAGGAGGGCGGGGGTCCAAGCCTCGGGTGGACCGGACTTGGGGTCCACAGAGCTCACAGCTCCTGTCTCCCCCAGACTGCGCCAGGAGCGGCAGGGCTACCTTTCTGAGGACGCCTCAATGAAGAACAGGCTGCCAGGGCCACTCACCTCCAGGGCCACCACCCAGAGGCAAAGGGGGGCCCTCAGAAACTCCCCGGATACCCCCAACATCCTGGATCAGGTGGGCAGACTGCCCTGCTCCTGGAGGCCACAGCTGGTGAGCACCTGCTGGCAGCTGCCACCCAGTGCTCCACGTGTGCCCGCGGGGGCTCGCAGTGGCCGGGACCGTGTTCAGTTCCTGCGTCTCCCTGGAGGTGCAGCAGGAGGGGTGGGCTCAAAGCTCACAGGCTGGCCTGGCCCCAGCTGCGCCCGCAGGCCCTGGCGCCTGTGCGCCTCTCAGTTGCCTCATCTGTAGCAGGGGGCTAGGGCGCGGTCTGAATCCTGCTGGCCCCAGGCAGCCCCGCCTCCTGCCTGAGGTCCCTGCAGCGCCCAGCTGGTCCTCCTCACTCTAGGAGTCCTTCCTGCCCAACTTGGTGCTGCAGTCCATCCTGAAGTGAGGCCACCCCAAGGGCTACCAGCTCCTCCTGCCTCCCACAATCCTGCAGCAGGTGCAGAGGTGAATGCCCACCGGAGCCCCAGCCCAGGGGAGCACACAGTCCAGGCAGTGAGGAGAGTCTCCCTTGCCCCACAAATAAACGCACATTCCAGGTGGCTGGGATCTGCCACTAGGTCTCCGTTCCAGCCTCTCAGGTGCCTGCTTTGGGGTCTCCAGGGTTCCGGGGCTGGGGGAGCAACAGGCTAGAATCACAGCAGGGATGGCTGAGAGGTGGGGCCGTAGAGTCCTTTTGGTCAGGTCTTGTTCCCAGAACCTTCCTTCTGGAAGTGGGAGACCCTGCACAACCTCAATCCTGGAGCCGAGCCTCGGGGGACCTAGGCCAGCTCAGGCTTGAAAGGGGTCCCGGCTATGCTCTGAGCCTAGGGGTGAAGAATGACACCCCTTTTCCCCAACTCTGTCTTTGGTGCCAGAGGCTGCTCTTTTGACCTCCCTCTATGGGTAAGTACATCCAGACCCCAGCCCAGGAAAAAAGGCCCTGTGTGTGGACAAACATTAGCTTGGAACGTTTCTTGGTGGGTTCACCGTGACCTGATCCAGGGAGGGCAAGTGTGGGGCAGTCTGTGCGCCCTGTGCAGTGTTCCAGAGGGAAAGACAAGGTGGTAGGTGCTGCGCGGATTTATCTGGTGGCTGTGCTGACCCTGCCGTCCCCATACACCTGGGTGCCAATCCCCGGACAGAGCCTTAGCCTGCTCCTCATCTCTCCCTGAAGCTGCCCTTGCCCCCAGCCCTGGTCCTAGTCAGGATCCAGGTCTTTATCGCCACCTCGCGGCCAGTGAGGATTCGTCACGGGACCCACCGTAGGCACCTTGTTGACAAGGAAGCGGATTGCTCTGGTGGGATTTGGGTTGGACAACGGCTGGTGGGTAACTTTGAGGTCCGGATGGGTTGTGCATGTCGTTGGCCTTTCATGGAGAGGCGCCTGGCTCTCCAAGAGAGGCAACTGGCAGATCTGGCTCAGGCCCCGGGAAGGTCTCTCCCCGCGTCTGGCTGCCCGGACTTTCACGCCAGCCCTTCTCCTTGACCCAGGATGCAATGTCCTGGAGAGCCGGCGGGTCCCGGAGGAACGGGATTCTACTGCACCTCCTTCAGTGACCTTGAGCCGCCCTCCGCGCCCGCTCTGCGCCTCAGTTTCCCCGGCCGGCCGCCGGCTGCAGCTCCCCGCGCGCCCACGCGGGGGCAGTGTTGGCCTGGCTTTGGCGCCGCCCGGCGCGGCCGCAACTTCTCACGGTCGCTCGGGGTCGGAAACTTTTCCCCTCGCGCGGCGCCGGCTGCGCGGCCCGCTCCCCTCCTGCGCGCCCGCCCGCTGCGTTCCTCCGCCGCACCTGCCGCGCCGCGGCCCGACCGGGGAGGCGCGCGCCCCTGGCTCCCGCGCGCTTTGTTGTTGTCCTTGTCGTCGAAGCTGCTGACCCTAAATTGCTCAGCCGCGGTAGCGCCGAGGGCACCGAGCCTGGAGGCCGAGGCCGCGCCCAGCGCCGGCCCGGCCAG